TATTTTCAAGTATATATATACTTCATGCATCAAAACTACTTTCTCTGGCTCTGACAAACACCAATAATAATATGGGCAACTCTATGCTTCGGAGATGCAATACTAAAATCTGAAAGACTGAATCCAAAGGTGCAAAATGAAGGTCCATTCAAAGATGAAACTCAACTTATATGCCGAAAGACTGGGAAGTGAAGCTAACCAAGGAAAAATGACAGGTAACAAAGTAACTTAAAGGAAGAGACTTGGAGTCTTCTTATGCTATAGCACATCCAGTCACATTCCTTGGTCCCCTCCAGCTTAGTAGCAATACAGGTAACTTTACCCTGGCCTTTTTAACTCTAGCAGCCATGGCAGCTCTGTACTGGTAGCAGTGCTATGGAAAAGAGAGTTGTTTCAGATAACAGACTCCTGTATTTAGAAATCATGTTCTTAACAACACTGTTCTTCAGACACAGAAGGTAAAGAGGAAGGCAGCTGGGTTTTCAACGTGTAGCAGGGCAGAAGCTGCATCTGAAAAGCACTTTCATCACAGCAAATGTGTTATACCTAGAGTCAGAACAGTCCTTTTACAGAGTAACTGTCACGGAAAATAACTAAGCAGAAAAGAACAGATTAAAAGCACTGAGTAATTCAATGACAATTAAGCATTGCATACAGCAGTCAAGACTGCCCCCCATTTCATGTCACTGACCATAGCCACTCATTTGCACAGTCTCCTGTATGCTTGCAGATCATATCCAGTGTCTCTACACCACTTTACACAGTGCTTTAAAATATGCTTTTATTAATCTCTTTCAAAGACCAACAAACTTTTAGCTATAATCTCGTGCATTCGTATTACTGTTGCAGTATCGCCAGTCCCAAAATACAGAGCAGCTTAAATCACACCAGTCACACCACTAAGCATGTTCTGGCTTTAAACAAAACATCACAGTTTGAGATTTCAAGTCCGCTGTTCCTCATTTTAGTTTCTAAACTCTTTGGGTTAGAAATACACTTCTTTTCTTTTTTTAAGCTTACGTTGATATTTAAATGCAGTTACTTGAAACCATGAGCAATGACTCCAAATATAACATCTTGAGATAAAAATAATTTCTGGCATTACCTGTGTGGATGCGACTGTGCCTCTCCAGCTGACTTGGCTTAGCAAAAGCTTTTTCACAAGTATCACACTTAAACACTCTTGGCTTCTGGGAACTCAGCGAAGGTCCAGCCTGATGGGTTTGCATGTGTTCCTAAGCCAGTACAGAAAAAAAAATACATTTCGGACCATTTTTAAAAACTTCAGTATTTAATGTAGAAAGACATTCACACTTCGAAGACAAAAGCAGAGGATTTTAGTCATCAGCAGACAAGCCAGAAGATGGAAGCCTACATTTTTATTTTAAATTAGATTATTTTTGTAGATCAACTCTTTTGTAAGGCTGAGGCATCAGTACCTTTACATTTCTGAAGCCTCTGTGAATAACTGTATGCACTGCTTTTTTTGCATACTGTAGTCCCTTCACTAATTATCTGAAGCAATATAATAATAATAATAATAACAATAACAATAACAAAAATAACAACAACTACCTAACAAAAACCCAACAAGACCAGAGCTCTTGAAATGCTTTGTTCACTTACAGACATGGATTTTACACAACCGTGCACTGTAAGTTAATACTGAATTTTTTCCCCTCCCTTTTACAGTATCCATCTCCCCCCTTGCCTGATATGATGCACAGCTGTTCCTACACGGCACCTGAAGAAGTATCATTGGAAAACTTCACAGGCCTCAAAGAGGAGACTATCATGACATACACACACACAGCTGCACAATGTCAATGTGCAAACAGAAGTGCATCACAATGAACTCTTAAAATAGTAATAAAAAAAACCCCACTAAGGTCCTTGCAGGTAAGAAAGCAGAATGAGGGTATGACACGTTTATTTTTACGAAGAAGTATTAACAGTAGTTCTAACTGCAGCGTTTCTGATTCACTGATGCTGGGTCCAGAAGTTTTGGCAATTTAAAGAACCATCTGTTTACTTTTTCATTTCAATCTCTTTCAGATTACATAAGAAAGAAAATACAAACATTTAATTTAAAAATATAATCAAGAACGGTATGTGAAACAGTGGTGTGAGTACTTGTCCACTCTCTAAAATGTGTGGATATTCTTTTCTAGTCTATTCATTACAGACTAAAGACATTAATTAGTCTTTACTACACTTAAACAATAAGCTTTCTTGGTGTCTATGAAGTGCTAGTGCTTACTCCATGAACTAAACCAAATTGTGTCTGCAGAATTTTTTTTCACTGGAAAATCAGCAAGACAGTTAGAGGGAAGAATATTATCACAGCAATTATTATAATTTAGTATTATAGGGAAATAATAAAAGGTCTTCTCAGGAAATCACAGGAGATTCATAAACCACAGCTTAGTTGGAGATGAGCAAAATCTCTTGCTTTTATCTTGTTCATTACATCTCAAAGCATTGAAAATGCAGAAGCAGGCTATGACCTACTCCAGAAAAAGTATCTGAAACTGGCTGCTTCTCTCTGCTACAGAAAATACCAAACAAACCAAACCACCAAACCAAAACCCCAACAACTGCCCTCCAACCTCATTTTCTACTTGAAAGCAAAGAAGAGAATGCCAAGATAGCGGCCATAAAACTTTCTCTGTCATCCTTCTCTGAGGAAAGAAGTTTATGATGCAATTCTGTTCCACTGATGGGCCAATCTCTTACACTTTGCCTGTAAAATACATGCTTTTGAAAACGGTTCATGGGAATACAGCGCTCTGAAGTGCAAGCACTTCTTTACAGACATACTTCGTATTTTTTTGATCGTTCACGGGATGTTTTACAAGTTTATTTGTATGTCAAATACTGTGCTCAGTTTTGGCCCTCTCGCTACTAGACAGAAATTGAGGTGCTGGAGCATGTCCAGAAAAGAGCGACAAACCTGGAGCACAAGCCTTATGAGGAGCAGCTGAGGGAGTTGGGGTTTAGTGTGGAGGAGCCTGAGGGGAGACCTCATCGCTCCCTACAACTACCTGAAAGGAGGGTGGAGCGAGGTGGGGGTCAGCCTCTTCTCTCAAGTAACAGGACAAGAGGAAATGGCCTCAAGTTACGTCATGGGAAAGTTAAATTTGATATTAGGAAAAATTCTGTTACTGAAAGAGTGGTCAAGCACTGGAACAGGCTGACCAGAGAGGCGGTAGAGTCACCATCCCTGGACATGTTTAAAAAACACGTAGACGTGGCACGCCAGTTCATGATTTAGTGGGCATGGTGGTGTTAGGTTGATTGTTGGACTTGATCTTGAAAGTCTTTTCCAGTCTTAATGATTCTGTGATTCTATGATAATGTCATATGCTTATGTGGGAGTAAATCAGCTACTCCACTCACAGGTGGCAAGCCACTCTGAGGGTAAAATCACTCAGGATGATTTGTTCCACCATCTTCCCTGGCACTGAGGTCAGACTGACAGGTCTGTAGTTCCCCAGGTTTTCCTTCCAGCCCATCTTGTAGATGGACATCACATTTGCTAACCTCCAGTCAACTGGGACCTGCCCGGTTTTCCCAGGACTAACAATAAATCATTTCATATATCTTGGTGAGCACTTCCAGGAGCTCCTTCAGTACACTTGGGTGGGTCCATCTGGCCCCACAGACTTGTGTGTGTCTAAGCAGTGTAACAGGCTGCTAACCATTTCCCCTTGGATTATCTGGGCTTCACTCTGCTCCCTGTCCTCCAGCTCAGGGGGCTGGGGTACCCAGAGAACAACTGGTCTTACTATTAATGACTGAGGCAACAGAGGCATTAAGTACCTCAGCCTTTTCCTTATCCTTTGCTACTATTTTTCCCCCTGCATCCAATACAGCATGGAGAATCTCCTTAGTTGTCCCTTTTGCTGTTAATGTATTTGCACAGGTATTTTGTATTTTCTTTTACTGCAGTAGCCAGATTAAGTTCCGGTTGGGCTTTAGCCTTCCTAATTTTTCCTCCCTGTGTAGCCTCATGACATCTTTGTACTCCTCCTGAGTTGCCTGTCTCATCTTCCAAAGGTTATAAACTCTTTTTATTCCTTGAGTTCCAGCCAAAGCCCTCTGTTCAGGCAGGCTGCTCTTCCCCACCAGCTCACCTTTTGGGATGGCCTGCTCCTTGAAGATTTCCTTCTTGAAGAGTGTCCAGCCTTCATGGACTCCTTTGCCCTTCAGGACTGCCTCCCAAGGGACTCTTATCAACCAGACCCCTAAAGAGGCCAAAGTTTGCCCTCTGGAAGTCCATGGTAGCAGTTCTGCTAGCCCCTCACTTTATCTCTCTCTGAATCAAAAACCTTATCATTTCATGATCGCTATGCCCAAGACAGCCTCCAACCATCACACCCCCCATAATTCCTTCTCTGTTGACAGACTACAAGCCCAGCAGGACACCTTCCCTACTTAGCTCTCTCACCAGCTGTGTCAGAGGTTGTTTTCCACGTGCTCCAGGAACCCCATAGACCATATGTCCTCTCTTCTGTATTTCCAGAGGACATCCAGTAAATTTAAGTCACGCATGAGAACAGGAGCTAGTGACCATGAGACTTCTCCCAGCTGCTTATAGAATATTACAGCTGCTTCTTCATTCTGGTTGAGTGGCCTATAACAGACTCCTACCATGATATCTGCCTTGTTCTCCTGAACCAGAGGTTAACATTTTCAGACCACCACATTTTCTGACAGTTTTCCAAAGGACCAGTGGTCTGTTTGACACACATGATCGTTCCAAGCGGATGAACTTCACAGACAAGATCTATTTCCTTAAAATAAGATAATGAAGTAAGGGGAAATTTATTGAAAAAGCTCTCCTAAGAGTTACTCAATATAAAGACATTGCCTCTGGCTCCAGAAATTTCTTGATATAAATTCTAGGATGCTGGCAAAATTCTGGGCGAGTTGTATTGTATGTTTGCTCTTTTCACAAAGTACTTCCTCAAATCACTGCCTTTTAGTATCTCTCAGAGATAGGATACTGGCCTGGACATACCACTTGTCTAGTACAGCCCAATATTCCAAACAGGAACATTCTACTCTAGAGAAAACTACATAGAAAATATTGCTAGACAACAACAGTAATAGAAGGATATTTTAAAACAAATGCTTCCTCTGCAGATGTCACTTGTACTTACAAGACAGAGTACCTAAAAATCAAATTATGGAGTGTAAAGCACATAAGCTTTTGGAATCATAGGAAGCTATCTGGAAATCAAGATTAGCAGTGAAAACATACATAAGCACACAAAGTGAAATCTTTTTCTGGCACCATTACTTGCATGTCAGGCAATCATATTTTTCATTCTGTAGTCGATATACATGTTAAAATCATCTCCATGCTCCAGGAAAGAGTTCTCTATCTGTGATCACACAGACCCCTTCTCTCAGATGCACACCTCTCACACAGTAAAAGGAAAGGAAAGGTAAAGGGATAATAGGTACCTTTCACTAATATGGCAAAAAGTAAAAAAGAAATAAAAATAAAAATAATGAGTTAAGAGAACAATCAACTTTTATTACCAAATACCTTGAGATGTGTTGCCCGCTTAAAGGCTTTATTGCAGACATGGCAAACGTGTATTCTTTCCTTGCCATGAACTTCTTTACTATGGTGCATCAACATGGTGGCTGAAGAAAAGGTCTGACTACACTCAAAACACTGGTGCAGGCAACCTTCTTTTTCTGCTTGGCTGCTTTTAGTCACATTTGGAGAAACCTCTGTCACCTATAACAATTTACAAAAACACAGTCAAATCATTTCATAGGCACATCCACAACAGTGGTTTATTTTTCAGTATCTACCTCAAGGTGACCAATTTTTGGAGAGTAACTGCAAGCAACTTACCAACACAAAGGGAAGAAATAAGTTGTAAAGAAATATAAAGTTGTATTTCATTGCTCTTAAGAATCAACAAGTATTTTAAGAAAACAGAAAGACTATAATAACTATGATCAAATTCATTTATGCCCTATAAAGTATTTGTATAAATATTTTCCTATACACAGTTATATATTTCTGAGCATCTCAGATGATTCTCTTTTTTTTTTTTCCACCAAACAAAATTCAAAGCCAAAAACATTTCAGACAAAAATAGTATCTCTGATTTTCTAGGAAGAATAATATCTTCCATTTGTTAGATTTCTTCACTGGGGACCCTATTTTTGTATAGAAGTAAAGCTCTGAGCTACCAACACAGTCTCAGAAATACTGAACACAGTGAAAAGTTGATAGGATTTGGATGGGGTTTGCTACTTGTTTGTTTTGTTGTAGATTTTTGGGTTTTTTTTTTGTTGATTGGTTGGGGTTCTTAAATCAATGAGGATGTTGAGAAAATTTTTGCTTTCTTCAAATTAAGTAACACAAAACTCCTTCAAGTCTATAGATACAGAAGAATCTTAAATACCACAGCATAAAGAAGAAAGCAATGAAGATGAATAAAAGGTACTCCAAGTGAATTATTCAGGATGAAAGATACAGAGCATAGTAAAGTATTATCCACACTACAAAGCAAAGATACAATATAAAGACATGGAAAGGAATTATTAAAAAAAATAAATCTTGGTGATAAAAAAAAGTTTCTCTTGGGAAAAGGCTGAGAAGTCAAAAGGTCAATCAACATAGTTGACATGATTAAACAAAACACACATTACACAGAATGACAGAAAACTACTTTACATTAGTGTAACACTGCTGCTCTCGCCCACCAAGCCAGTGATCTCACTGTGGAAGGCTCTCAGGTCAGTCAGCCCTGTCTTCCCCTCTCTAAATCCCTGCTGACTACTCCCAGTAACCTTCTTGTGCCTCGTGTTTGGAAATGCTTTCCAGGATTATTTGCTCTATCAGCTTTCCCGGTATTGCGGTGAGGGTAACTGACCCATACTTCCCCACATCCTCCAACCTGCTCTTCTCGAAGGCAGGAGTAGCTTTTACTTTCTC